CAGGGCATGCTCATGGTATGCATCTAACAGTGGCTGGCGATTATCCGAGTCGAATATGTTGAAGTATTGATCCAAAAACTGGCGAACCACCTCAGCGCCGGCGCTGTCACACAAAAAGGATGCCTTTGCCGGTGGCAGGACGGCTGATTCGTTCAAATCGAAATGCACCTGTGGCGGCAATGCTTCCCCATCCTAAATTATAATTGTTATTATTATTAGTGAGACTTTAAGCAGTGTCTGGCTTCTTGAAATCTTCAACTTACCAGTTTCAAAATTTTGGGAAACTTGCGACGTACTTCGCTGTAAATAGTTTGCAGTTGGATATGCGTCCGTTTTTTGTTGTGGCATTAGTATTGTGCAGTTGGCATACACACACACGCGCATGCATACATATATATGTGCGACACACACACACACACACACACACACACACATCACACATCACACACACACACACATGCATACATATGCACGTATATTTGTTAAATATGTTAAGCTATCGCACACACATATGTATGCATATTTGTGTGGCTGTTGCAGTTGCATCATGTTGCATTGTCATTTCGAATTGCATTTGCTCCTGCCTCGCCACACTTTCTCATTATCGATACTTTTTAATTAATTTATACTTATGGCATATTGTTTTTTGCAACTATTGAACAAGCAGATGCATCTGGTTTATGCCAGCGACTGCTTTGCGCTTGCGGCTGGGCAATTTTCGCAGCGACTGATACATTTTCAGGAGAGCCAAACTTTTAGGCAGCAAATTTTGTTTTTTTTTCTATTTGTAATTTTTTTTTTATTTTAGTATTTTTTGTATTTTTTTTTTTTTTATTTTATTTTTTATTTTTATTTTTTTTTTTGTTCATTTTTTCTGACACCCAAAAGCGTAGGACAAAAGCTCGCTGCATCCGATCAGTTTTGTCAGTTTGTCTTTGATATCGTTTCGTGTTTTTGTGCATATTTCGTCGTTGTCGTCTGCGCGTAGCATCCGCAGGCAAAGCACACGCCCACCGCCAATCAATACACAAATGAAAGGCTTGCATAAAAACGCAGTCGACAAGCTTTTATCGGAGCCGCCAGCGCCAGCGAGTGTTGTAAAGTCGTGTTATTCTTTTATTATTATTTTTTTTTTTTTTCTTTTTTGTTTTTGGGGCGGGAATGTGTTGCAGTCTGAACGTCTGAGGGGTTGGGGGTCAGTGTGTTTGTCTGCTGGGCGCGCGCACTCCACCGTTAAATGAAGCCGACGATATTGACGCTGCCGCTAACCGCAAGTGCAACAACAGCAACACAACAGCGCAGCGCAATTAGAAATTTGCAAATGGCAACAGCTCACAATGGAGTCGGCCGAGCGCGCGTGCGTGTGTTTGCAATGCGTGCGTTTGCGGTGCGCGCGCATGCGTCTGTGCGTTTACGTGGGTTGCTTTGTTTGGATTTATGTTTGATGCGCTTGTCCGTCACATAAGATAACAGGACATCCAAACGCAGCTGCATGCTTGCCTACATACTGGAAATGCCAGTGCGTAGTTAAGTCAGTCAGTCAGTCTGTCTGTATGTGTGTGTGTGTGCGTGTGTGTATGTGTGTGTCTGTGTATGTGCGTATGCAGTCTGTTCGGAGTTACCATATCGTCGAATTGACAGTCAGTGTTGTGTTTGCTTTTCAGATGCATTTCGAATTTTGCCTGTATTTTTTCTTTTCATTGGGTTTTCTTTTTTTTTCTTTCATTGTATTTTATTATTTTTTTCTCTTTTCTATTTTGTTTTTTCTTCTTCTTCTTCTTCTTTTTTTTTTTGATTTTATTTTCTTGTTTTTCTGTTTACTGTCAAAAGCTTGGTTCCGCCTTAGTTGCTTCTATCATAAAAACGGCAACAACAATTTTAAATTAGTTTTCCCATGCCAACCGATGCATTTGCTTACTAAAAATGCCTGAAAATTGAAGCAGCGAGGAGTACGGACAATTGCAGTTTCCAAATTACAGTTGCAACAGCTGAACACAGCAAATCACAATAGGAAAATAGGATTAACTAAGAACAAGGCATTTGTCGATGGGATACGAGATCCACAACAGTTTTGACAATCTCTCTAGCCCAGTTCCCACGTTGATGATTCGCTGTCTGCGCTGCCACATCCTCTAGAATGCAGAAGGAACAAGGAAATCACACCATAGTATACCTGACAAAATGCTGAGGATCCTTATAACGTAAACGGCACGGATTATTGCGCAAGACCAGCTCCACAATTGGCAAATTGCGAAAGACCAAAAGATGGGCCAACGAAGGCAGCTATTATCAAAGACCAGAAGACAGACAAATCATTGAATTTCAAGACAAACAATTTGAATACTAATAACGCACCTTGTTATCACCCAAATAAAGTATCTTGAGATGAGGCAAACGCTTGTCGGCGCCCTTGAACGATTCCATGGTGGACATGTTGTTATCATTGAGATTGATGGCCTCCAGATCGGGAATATTATCGCAAATGATGTCCAGCGCTGTAGTCATAACGTTAACACGAAACAGCGGGCAAAAGATGGGCTTCAGATCGGGATCGGCATGAAAGCGGGACAGATCTAGCGCCTTGGTTTGTACATTATAACGCTTGGCCATGACGACCTTCATCTTTGCCTTGAACTCCTCATCGATGGTCACCAATGGGACACCGCTGCGCACACGTGGCATCAGCCGAAAGCCATCCGGCAGCTGTGCATGCCGCCCCAGCTGCTGTATACGCTCGGCCACCTCAAAGTCATCCGTAAAGAAGACGGCACAATGGCGCTCCGACCGCCAATACTGCGGTACAAACACATGCGGTGACATTGCCGCCAACAAGGCACGCAACAGCGTCTCCTTTTCATAGATCTGGCCATTGTGTATCTGTATTATCCATTCGTCAGTAGACATGCGAACAAAAAAACGTAGGATATGTCGCTGATTAAACACAAATTCAAGTATAATTTAAAACTAATTGATTGGCGACTTTTAGAGATTTGCTATAAAGAACTTCTCTGCCATCATAGGAACGCGCCAGCAATACATTTCCCACACTTGCAGCTGGCATTTGCTCTTCCTCCGACTCAGTATCGACTTTCGTTAGAAAGTTTCTGTAGAATTTGCAACTTCTTGTTGCTTAGCCTATGCGTCATCCGTGATCAATCAGTCAGTCAGTCAGTCAATCCCTCAGACAGGACAAACTCTCTTATTGAGATTATTGTAGCTATTCCAAAATAAATGAGTCAATTGTTCGATAGCTGAAAAACTGAAATGCGCTTATTTTACAAATTGAACTTTTCCAGTTATCGGCTCGTTTGTTTTGGTCGCATATTTTTTGGGCTTTATATTTCTGTTGCGATTGTGTTTATTGCATTTCCGTTGCTCATTAAACGCTACACTCCCAATTACCCAATATTTGCATACCAATTCGAAACGATTTTGACTCGGTGACTGGCCTGGGGCCTCTTTGTGTTTTAATTACTTTTGGGTGCGCTTATCTTCAAGTGTCTATGATTTAATTATGAGCATTCTGATTATGATTATGACGCACAGGCACACACACACACACACACACACACATACACACACATACATCCACCCCCACCAAGCACACTCACACACACACACACACACACATACACATTAGTTTTTCCTATGTAGAACTGTGTTCACGAACTAAAAAAAAGCGGATTTCAAGTGCCTTTAGCTTTCTTCCATTGTGGGTATATTTAGATTTGTCTAGAATCTCAATTCGCTTCCTTAGTGCAGAGGATAATTCTTTAACTAAGTTGAACTAAGCTCAAACTAGATCACATACCGTTATTATGTACTCTATATACTACGTACGTATTTGTGTCACACTCATTCTGGCGATGAATCCGTTGTGCTCATTAGATAAAAAAAAAGGTGAGTGCTCCAGTTGAGTGTGATCGGCTAGTAAATACTCTGTAACATATAATACTCTGCACATCACAGATATAATATAAGTATATGCCTAATCAACTCGTCCCGATCAGGTATGTTAATAGATTGGATCTGGGTCTGGTCAACTGCAATATACCCGTTCCCCCATATTGAATGGGCACAGGGTATACAATAAATAAAAAGAAGATGGGCATAGCTATGACCACTTACTACTCGGTCCCATTCATTTTCATTTTGCTGCGCATTTATGCGATAAATTTATTTATTATGAGGCATTAGTGTTTGTTTACTATGTTTACCACTGATTATGCCATTCGGACAGTGTCGATAGACACTCTAGCCAATCTGCTATTTTGCCTGCCCTCATTTGGGCGTAGCTTAAAATCCTTAAAATTTTTCAATCAAAGAGCTTAGCGTTAAGTTTTGCTAGCCGTTTATATGCAGTTGGGTATATCTGTTATCTGTTTGTTGGGCGGGCTGGGCTCTTGAGTTGTTTGATAAGCCTCAAATGAATATGTTAAGGTACTTGAGCACCTACTGAATTAGTCATTGAATTAGCTTGTTATATAGAATTTAATTAAACAATTGTGAATCTTTAATAAATATTTGTAAGACATACTGGCTGGCTGTTTACGCTCAAAGAATAGATCAGATATGAGAGACCGAAACGGTTCTATGAAACATTTGCTAAAAAAAAGAATCATGACTCCAATGGGAAATTAGTTGAGCTGCGACGACGACTGCGACGACTGAGATTGAGAGAGGATGAATGGGTGGATGGGTGGTTGGATGGGTGGTCGGTTGATTGGGTGTATTGGCGAGTGAATGAGTGCGTACATGGGCTGGTTAGTATGAATCTATGAGTATATAAATGCCGCTTTTGTGTACAACAATGAGAAATACGAGCGCACACCGAGACACATGTATTTCCAGAATTGATATGACTGATGACGCCGACGCGTCAACTGCGACGCCGACGCTGATGGGGACTGCGACTGCGACTGCTACTGCGACGTAGCGTCAACGGCAACGGCAACTGGGCTGGCTAACAAGCGCGCACCGGCAAACGCAGCGCCATTCGTTAACAGCCGTGCGAGGTTAAAGCAACAACACGGCAACCCACCCACAATTCACAAAAAAAAAAAAAAAAAAAAAAACAAACAAAAACACACACACACCCACACACACACACACACACACAACAAAACAGAAACAAAATGGGCAGCTGTTGCTCAAAGGATTTGGATGATAAGCGCTCCTGGAGTCCCGAGGAGACCAAAAATGGCGTAAGTCCATGGCAAAGCATTTAAACTTCATGTTAAACCAAACACTTGCGAATTCGTACACAGAGCACCACATCGACTATCATAGCACAGCCCATGGATGATGTGGGCAGCACGGGTGTTTTTACGTTAACGCGCACCACAACAACAACGACAACAACAACAACAAAACAGCAGCAGCAACAGCAACAGCAACAACAACATCAAGAACAACAGCAACACATAACAGCAAATGCAGTTGATCCTGATGCAGATCCTGAGGCTAAGCAGTAGCCACAAGCTGCAACACTTCAAAAGCTCTTAATTCAAATTGCCTTCTCTTTTTTTTTTTTTTACCTAATTCCATAATTTTGTTAACTAAGCATATATGTACATACATATATACATATACACATATACTATATATATAAATAATATTTTTTTTTAAAACATTTGTGACATGTGTGTTTGCTTGACAAGAGGCAGAGCCAGAGCCAGAGCCAGTGCGTGCGAGTGTGTGTCTGTGAATATATTTACAGTGATGAATACGTTGTACTGTTATTATTATGCTCAAAGAGAGTTAAAACGCGTAATAAACATTTAACTGTAAGCGTGTTTTTCGTTTTGCCTAGAAACCTTTTGAAAAAAAAACAAACGAAATCCAAAACGAAATTGGGCTAGGAATCGAACCGAAACTTGCCGGCGCGATAAGAGCCGTTACCCTGCTGCCCACCCACCGACCAACCGCCCAACAAAGCTCAGCTGCACACGCATTCGCACATTGCTAGTCGATGACATCAGGGTCTGATGCCGCCTGTTGATGCACAGAGAACAAAATCAAAAGAGCAAATAGAAGAGAGCGGGAGAGCGCAGGAAATAGCCATGCCCATGCACACCCACACACGCACACACGCACACATGCAAGGTAAAACACACACATGCAGTGGCTTTGGGCTTATTCTGGACGCTTCGTGACTCAGTTTCTTATGAGTTTCTGTGCCAATACTCGCATTGGGATTTTTCGCGCAAATGGTTTTGGCCTAGAGCAAAACACAAAACACAAATACATTTAACAAATAAATAAAATGGTGACTAAGCCGCCACCTTGCACGTGCGTTCTGTTATAAATGCACTTGCTGTTGCTCTCACTGCACTCATTAACAATAAAAATAACAATTATAATACTAACAAAAACAATGCCAAATCGAAGTCGAAATGCTGTCGTCTCAACGTCAGCTACATCCCCATAGCTTGCATTCGCATATTTACATATTATATTAATTAACCAATGTTAGATGTAAAACATGTACTGCCAGTTAGTATGCAAATGGTGAACCAGTAATTGGAAATTCTATAAATTTATATTTGTATATAATTGAATCAATCTTATAGTACAAAGATTCCTCTTTGTTCAATCAAAAGCACATGATTTATATTTCAAATCAAATGCGCACTTATTGCGCAAAAATGTTTCAAAATGTTTGCAGATGTCAAAAAAAAAAAATCAAGCAGAACACAAATTTATCTATTTTTTGTACATAAACAGAATTTAAATAGACTACATATACTTATGAATTTATTAAAATTAATATTTGAAATGGTTAAAGCCGTTTACTTTTTGTATTGCCGCGTTGCCATCTAACTAAAAACCGGCTTGCATGTCATGCATGTCGTAGCGTATCATTAAAAAAACCTCAGCCCGAATGCATGCAACAAATTCGTTTTCGAATTGAAAAACGACTAAATGCGTTGCGTTAAACTTATAAAAAAAAAAAAAAGAGAAGCACACTAAAGATAAGATTGTACAAAAAATTATTACATATGGGTATTATATATATATATATATATAAGTATATATTTGTGAGTACAAGATTAGATGAGAGCAAAGAATTTGCCAACATATCTACGTGTGCATTTATAAATGTGTGTATTACTGTGCGTATTTATTTATGTACATTTGAGCAAATGCAGAATATACAATGTCCACATATAGAACAGAAATTTTGTATTAGTAAATCAAGCAAGAAAATAAAAAACACAAACCGAACCAAACCAAACTAAACGACGCAGAAAAGGCAATTAAAGAAAATGCAAAACGAGGGAACGACATGCATACATGTGTATGCATATACATATCAACGTACATGTATACGCATTTATATAGATAAAACAATTTGAACATCAACAAGAACGACCCTAAAGTCAAACGAGGAACAAGCCACACACAAAACCGAACCATGGATCGTCGATTGTGAACGGGTTGCGAGGGGCGGGGTTAGCTGGGCAAATGATAGAAAACAGAAATTGGAGCGCACCGCCGCCCCCGCCGATTGTTAGGGTCCCGGGTCCGGCCCGGCACGGCCCCGGCCTCGGTCTCGGTCTCGGCGCGATCAGCAGACGGCAGCAAATGTTAAGTTTGTGTGCGGTTGTCAGTGCAAACGCGACCCTCCGACAAGTAGGCAGCCAGACGGATCAGCAAACGCGCACCAAAGAATCAAATCAAATCACAACAAATTAATCATCTGCAGACCAAAAGTGATCATGCAATTTAGCGGATGCCTGGCCATGGTGCTCCTGGCTTCCATAGCCGTATCTACGCCTTTGCCCATGGCCAATGAGGATGAGCTCGTGGCTCTGGACTCTGTTGAGCAGGTCGAACAGCCGCAGGATATGCGGCATATCTTGAAAATAGCGCCCAAACAGTCAGACACCGAGTTGGTTGAGGAGCGGACTGGCGTCTACGATACCATAGTCGAGGAGCTGCGCGCCGCCGGCGTACAAACGTCGGAACAGAAGCCATTGCAAACGCTCAGCTACAAGGAGCTGGCTCGTCTGCTGGCTCTGTGGCACATGACGCAGGGCCGCAACTTCTACGAGGCCGAAGGAGAACATGCCCGTGATGCGGAACAGTTCGTAGCAGCAGCCACAACACGGCCCATTTCAAGCTAGGCCAGCGATTCATCCATTTCGTATGTTGTTTATGACGAACTTTATTACCAAGCTGTATCCATGGTTCATGTAAAATGTGATGCACTTATTAAAACAATAAAAAAAAAAAAAAAAAAAAAAAACAAATTAAATAAATTAATATTGTGCTTTTATGCCTGTGTACGTTGCTTGCCCGCCCCCGTTCCCGCACCCGCCACCGACGCTGGTAATGTGTCCTGCCAGTCCGGCGGGGGTGCCGTAGGCTTCTGCTCCTTAATGCTGCTGCTGGTGCTGCTTCTTTGGCTGCAGCTGCTGGTGTTGGTCACGACAACACGCGGCATTTGGCGGCGTTGCAAACGCTTGGCGATAGGCGGCACAAAGAGATCGTGCTTGATTAGTGTGCAGTCCGCATCCTGATAAATGTGACGATTGCTGTCCCAGTTGAAAGCCGCAAACAAGGAGGACAACAGCCAGCCGCCGAAGAAAGCAATGAGAAAACCCAGTGGGGCATACCACATGTAGCTGATGCGGTAAAGGTAGAAATATGACGACTCCGGTTCAGGGTCCGCAGCAGCTGTGAATTGTGCATCCGTTTGCAGCAGTATGTCGCGGGCAAAGCTGCGTTGAGCGGGGCAGCCAGCAGTAGACATGTCCAGGCTGGGTATCGGCGGTCTCGGCTGACCGAAGCCAATCCAGAAGGATGCGGCTAGCGATAATAACAGACCGCCAATGGCGCCCTTCTGATTTGCCGACGTCACGTACATGCCCAGCGTGAAGAGACCCAGCAGTGGACCGCCAATGATGCCGAAGATGGACAGCGCCGCCTGCAGCAGTCCGCCAATGGAGCCAGCCAAGAAAGCCATGCCCACACAAAGTGCGCCATAGAAGACAGATAAGAGCTTTGAGTACCACATGGTCTGGCGATCGTCGAGCGAGCGTTTCGTGCAGCCAAGCATTAGCGGCTTTAGGTAATCCTCCAGCGTGACTGCAGCCAGAGAGCTGATGGCCGTGCTGATGGTCGACAGGCTGGCACAAAAGATGCCGGATACAAAGAGGCCAGCTAGGCCCTCATAGCCACCCATGGTGTCTACGACAAACAGCGGCATAATCTGATCCCGAGAACTGACACGACCCGCCAGCAACGGATCACAGTCCCGATAATACCAATAGATGCACAGGCCCGATAGGCAAGTGCTGATGCTAAGCAGGCACAGAATGGGCAAACACCACCAGAGAGCGGCACGAGCAGAGCGCAAATTGCGTACGGCCAGCAGGCGTTGCACCTGCGCCTGGTTCACACCATAGATGGCCAGATAGGTGGCGGAGCCGCCCAGGACCTGCGTAAACCAGGTATGCCGTGTAGTTGGATCAATGCTAAAGTTATTAAATTCGATACGTCCATTCTCCAATGCCGTACGCCAGATGACACCGAAACTGCCAGCCTTGATCCATGCACAGATGATGACACTGAAAACGGCAACAAACATCAGGATCGACTGGTATATGTCTGTCATGAGCACCGCCTTCATGCCACCCAATGTGGCATAAATGGTGCAGACCACACCAACAATTATCACCGAGAAGATCTGATTCAGGCCAGTGACTGCCTCCAGCGCCAGTGCCGGGGCATACACCACAATGCCCATGTAGAGTATCATCTGTATCGAAAAGGCCAGCGAGGCGGCCAAGCGGGTGCCATAGCCAAAGCGCAGCTCCAGATACTCGTAAACGCTGGCTGTTTTCAGGCGATAAAATACCGGCAGTATCAGATAGGCGGCAATGGGCGTTGATACCACATAGGAGAGATTGATGATGACGAACATGGTGCCATACTGATACATCTCCATGGAAACGCCAAGTATTGTAACAGCCGACATGAAGCTGGCCATTAAACTGAATGCAACTGGCGTAACGCCCATGGAGCGATCAGCCAGAAAATATTCCGTTGTGTTGCTCTGTTTGTTGCCCACGAAGCGATAATAGATCCCGATTACAATGGAGATGATCAGGACCACCGCCAGGATGGCATAGTCCCAGGCTCCAAGAGTGGCCATTATAACAGCTACTCTTTTTTTTCGACGGGTTGGCAGCACGATTACAGGCGAGATAGAGAGAGAGAGAGAGAGAGAGAGATAGAGAGAGCGATGCGCGCGTTTCCTCGTTTCACAACACTGCAGATCGTCACCGTATTAATGGGGCGTGCACAATTCTGTTAATTTCCTTGCCCTTTAATCGACAGACAACTAATATTTGCTTTTTGATAAGCGCCGGCGATAATACCCAACAATATCAAATACATGTAGCAGTAGCAGCTGCAAGTCCAACTTGCTCTCGAGATTCTGCTGGCGCTGGCGAATACGCGCGCGTCTTTAACGTTTGCCGGCCGTCAATGAAATGACCCAAATACCCAGCCAACGAGTGCACAATAAACCAAAACTACACGGCTTTAGCGGCTAAAAGGAAACCGCGCTGCGCTGCCAATTTTTATAGCTTCATCGGGCCGCCGCTGAGAGATAGCAGCTTAGCTGGCGACAATACTCATTACCAGCACTTGGGACACACGCTGTGACCGATGCGGTACAGTGGACTCTGGCACCACGATCAGACATTAGCATGAGGACAATGCTCACAACTAATTCAACTATTTAGCAGACGCATATAATAAAATCCGTATATATATAT